GAAACTCCTCTTGTGGATTCTCTTAAAGAGAACATTGTGGCATACTGAGTAACATCCTCAGCAACATCCCCACAAAGATCTAAGCAGGTTTCTCTTGTTGTTTTGCTATTAGTATTTGCAGTGTACACTGAATAAACGCAGTTCTCCGAGAGGACAAAGCAGTGTGGTCCTCTGTCACCTGGCTTACTGCATCCACCCGATTGAGAACAATGGGTGGACTGCTGGTACGTCAAGCACTCCTTTATGAATGTGATTTCTTATAAGTGAGCTTTTGGCAGGAGTTAGGCAGCAGAGGATGCAGAGTTATTATATATTCTCAGGCATCAGGAAGACATGGTAGGTGTCTTTTGTTGCTGACTGAAGGTGGCGGATCCATGTGGTCGGTACTCTCAGTACCTGGTCCGTGGCAGCCCTCAGTGAGTCTGTGTGCAGTGGTTAAGTGTTCACAGTGCACATAGGCTTGTCCCTGCTTCCTGAATCTTTGTTTCTCATCTTCGCCTGAAGGGAGGACAGCGCAGGTGCTGCGGACTGGTTTTCCCTTAGAAAACAAGTCAGGTATTACAAATCAGTAACATGTACATTTGAAGACTAAAGCTCATTGGTAGTGTGACAGAGTAAGTTGTTTGAAAAATATCTACATTGATGAGTAAACTATCAGACTTGCTATACAGAATTGTTAGATGTAAGCACATTTACTGTTGGAGATGCCTCATAATTATGATTTTGATTTTAGAATAGGTGATCAGAACCATTTTCTTAGTGTTTTTCTTAGTTTTTGACAAGAGAACGATTTTAGCAATTTATAGGAAAATACTTGTTCTCCGTAGCATGGGAGCATGAACTAGGCTCACCCCAAAATAGTTTCAAGTAATTATGATGTGAGTTAAAAAAAAAAAAGAGCCAAAATACATCCCTGTTTGAATTCTATTCCAGAATTCAATTAATCAAATATTTATTGAGTGCCTAAGATACGCCCAGCCCAATGCTAAATGCTGGGGTTTCGGTAATGGTCAAGCATGATCTCATCTTCTAGGAGGCAGCCAAGCCCATATTCAGGTACTACTGTTCAGA